CAGGTGCTTTAGACTGCTGAGCTATCTCACTGGCCCTCTTTTGATTTTTTTAGGAAAGTTTTGCTGTGCAGCTCGGGCTGAACTTGAGCTCACTTTGTAGCCCTGGCTGATCTTGAACTCACAGCAATCCTCCTGTCCCAGCCTCCCAAGTGCTGGGGTTAGAGGCATGTGGCACCACGCACGGCCTACCACGGGTGCTTCTGGTTGCCCTCAGGATCACAGATGCTGCCTACTTCTTGGAAGTCGTGTGAGGGAAAGGGGCATCCATCTCCGCTAAAGTCACTGCCCGAGTGCTGCTGGGGGCTCCGGTGAGTCCTTGGGACGCATCCTCCAGCGTAAGCAACGTGTCTGTCCTGGTTGGCCTGGAGCAATGGCAGGGGAGGGGGGCGCTGTGGGACCCTCTCAGCTTCCGGGCTCTGCGACCTTCGGCTTCTGCTGTGTGGCTCTCCTGCCTACCTCTTGGCCTCTCTCTGGAAAGCCAATGATTCTTCTCGGTGTCTTCCACGCCCCAACGTCTCGGCGCTGTCGCCTAGCTCCTGCTCCTCGTCCACACGGGTTTTACGCACAGCGCGCACCAGTGAGGGCAGGTCGCGCCCCTCCCCCGCCAGCCTACCCGAGAGATTGTGCACGTCCTTCAAGGCTGCCGAGCCTGAGTCACCGCCACACAATGGGAGCCGTTGTTAATTGTTCAGCGCACACCTCGCTCTGCATGTTCGCCAGCCATGTCCCCGACTGCGGGGGAATCTAGGGCTCCGGCTGGACCGCGGGTCCTAGTGCATCTGCTATCGCCTCCCAGCACGCCATTCTCCTGCCTCAGCTTGGTGGTTGTTCTTTTTGAGGCAGGGTCTCCCTGTGTGGCTCAGCCTGGCCTTAAGCTTTGTAGCTCAGGCTGGTCTCAAACTTGCAAGGATCCTCCTGCCTCAGCCTTCCTAGTGCTGGGATTATAGGCATGTGTCACTATACCCGTTTAAAAATTTTTTTATTATGTATTTATTTATTTGGTACAAGGCCTCACTACATAGCTCAGACTCAGATTCATAGTGATCCTCCTGTCTCAGCCTCCCCAGCTCTGGGATTACTGGGATTATAGGTGTGCACCACCATGCCCGGTTTTTGTAGCCAACTTGGCATGGAGTACTGGGGATTGAACCCAGGTCCTTGGGCTTGCCAGGCAGATGCTTAGACTGCCCAGATATCGCCCCAGTACCCCCTCATCCCATACCTGGTTTACCCCATGAGTTTTTGTTTTGTTTTAGTTTGGTTTTTGAGACAGGGTCTCCCTGTGCAGCTTAGGCTGGCCTCGAGCTCACTTTGTAGCCCAGGCTGACCTTGAACTCACAATGATCCTCCTGCCTCAGCCTCCTGAGTGCTGGGATTACGGGCGTGCGCCACCATGCCCAGCTACCTATATGCTTATTAAACTATAATCGTAAATGCAATTACGCCCAATCAGGCTGGAGCTTTGCGTGCTCTGTCCTGAGCTCCAGCCCCAGCCTCAGTTGTATTCATAGTAAGAGAAATGCTTCCTGGTTTTATTAAAAGCCATGGACTTCTTTCAGCTTAACATTTCCACAGATTCTAGGCCGGTGTTTCAGGTTCTTGGCTGGCAGTGCCAAGCTGATTTAATGCGAAGTGGTGCTGATCTGCCTAATTTGCCAGCGGGGATGGGCGTGCTCACCCTCTGGGGTATGGTCTTTTGAAGCCTTTGTAGATGGACTCATCTGTCACTTTTAGGGCCTATGT